TAAGATAAAGTCTATTAGGGTGATGCTAGCAATTGCCGCATTTCATGATTATGAGATTTGGCAAATGGATGTCAAGACCGCTTTCCTTAATGGAAAGTTGGCTGAGGATGTTTACATGGCTCAGCCAGAGGGTTTTGTTGATCCGAAGCAACCGAATAGAGTGTGTAAGCTTGAGAAGTCCATTTATGGACTTAAGCAAACGTCTCGCAGATGGAATCTTTGCTTCGATGAGAAAGTCAAAGAGTTTGGATTTGTACGAAGTGAAGATGAATCGTGTGTATATGTCAAAGCCAGTGGGAGCATAGTAAGTTTCCTCGTTCTATATGTCGATGACATACTACTCATAGGAAACGACGTCCCGACATTGCAGGATGTTAAGTCCTGGCTCGGGAAATTCTTCGCTATGAAGGACCTCGGAGAGGCTTCCTATATTTTGGGAATAAGAAATAGTGAGAGATCGAAGTAAGAGACTAATAGGACTTAGTCAGAATACTTACTTGGATAAGGTACTAAAACGTTTTAGTATGGAAAACTCGAAGAAGGGAGAACTACCGATACAGAGTAATGCCAAGTTGAGTAAGACTCAAAGTCCGAGTACCGAAGGCGAGATAGCAGAGATGAGCCGAGTACCTTACGCTTCCACAGTTGGCTCGATCATGTATGCTATGACTTGTACTCGCCCTGATGTGGCCTTTGCTTTGAGCATGGTCAGTAGATATCAAGGGAACCCGGGTAAAGCTCATTGGATTGCGGTCAAGAATATACTTAAGTACCTTCGGAGGACCAAGGAATGGTTCTTAGTCCTCGGAGGGAGTGATGACTTAAAGGTGCAAGGGTATAGTGACGCCAGCTTCCAGACCGACAGAGACAACTATCGTTCGCAGTCGGGCTGGGTCTTTACCCTAAATGGAGGAGCAGTGACTTGGAAAAGTTCCAAGCAGGAAACTGTAGCTGATTCAACATGCGAATCAGAGTACATTGCAGCGAGCGAAGCGTCAAAGGAGGCGATATGGTTGAAGAACTTCATTGGTGACCTTGGAGTTGTGTCTGCCATAAAGGAGCCTATGGAAATTTTCTGTGATAATGAAGGAGCGGTTGCCTTAACCAAGGAACCGAGGGATCATGGTAGATCTCGACATATCGACAGGAAGTATCACTTTATTAGACATCGAGTAGAAGAAGGACACCTCGTGGTTAAGAGGATATCATCAGAAGATAACCCAGCAGATTCGCTTACGAAGGGAATGAGTAGGGTTAAGCACTTGCAGCACGCTAGGAGCATTGGGCTGAAGGATGATATTAGTTTAGATTAGATAGTTTTAGAAACATGTAATAGATAAATGTAATTGACGTTTGATGATTAAATAAAGGAGTATTATTTATGAGTAAAGTTACTGTCTTATGTTAATTGTTTAACTATTGTTTCACTTTACATGTTTTGACTTCCAGAATAATTGAGTTTATTAGGAATAATCGAATTATTCAAATAGTCCACAATCGTTCATATGTTGGAAGTAGGTATGAATGAAGATTGTCATGAATTGGTGTGTAGATTGTCTAAATGGTATTAGACATAGCAAAGGTTTGCTACAACGTTCATGAGTGCTTATGAACAAGTTTTGAGCATTGGAATAAACCCACGCTTGCTGGAATCACTTTACGGAACGTGACAAAAGTGATCGCAAGACGATAATATCATATGGTCTTAAAACCAAGATATATGGTTTATTGTTTACTAATTGGTTGTGCATTGATAATGCGAAACCGCATCAGTAAATTGATGTCATAAAACGCATTGTTGTGTATAGTTGATTAGTAGATAGTAAATGCATATAAGTCGAAGTTTTATCTGTTACTTCTATCCTAAGAGGGTAAAAGCGATATCACGGCTGCTCGATGATTTGATTTGAGTTATGTGCCGGGCCCGGTCAAGACTGAATTGATGTGTTCAATTAAGTTCTATGTCAAATGAATCTGAGATCGAGAAACCTTCTGCTGGACAATTAGTTCCATAAAATTGTCCGCACAATATCAAAACAGAGGACTGTACGATCCCTTATCTAAAGGACAGGTTACTGATGAGATCAGAGTTCAGCAGCGTCTTTGAGAGCTACGATTGCTAATCGAGTTGTACGTTGCATTTGTGGTTACTAGACTTATCCAAGTGGGAGACTGTTGGATTAGTGTCTAAGCCCGTAACCATATTTGGTAAGTACTTGACCCGGTTGTGCATGGTCCTTTTGGGGTTGCCTTCACCAAAGCAACTTGACTGGAGAAATAAATAGAGAAAGGGGTTATTATGATTTATTAATATGTTATAAGAATAATATATTAAAGGAGAAATCATATTTGTTTAATTAATATTGGTCAATAATTAATTAGGAATTAATTTTGTGATCAAGTGTAATTAATTAAACTAGAAGGGCTGAATTGTAATTATGTAATAGTTGCAAAATAGGGCAATGGTTATCCTTGTTAAAGGATGGACGAATTCAAGGATAAGGATATCCTTAAAATCGTCCAAGGTCCAAGAGATAAGGGTTTTCAAGGCTTATCTTGTGGTTGCTTGGTGGGCAAGTAACTGGATAAGGATAAGGACTGAAACCCTAATCCCAACCCTATATAAAGACCCCTAAGGCCTTAGGAATTCGTGTACATGCTTCTAAGAAGTCCCAAGGACGATTTCTACCTCTCCCCTTCTCTCTCTATAGCCTCTCCAATTGCTTGTGGTGTTTGTGAGCCATTAGAGGCACTACACTTGTGGTGCTTGCTTTCAAGACTTAGGGTTTGAAGATTTAAGTTGTTATTGCAATATAACAACAAGAGGTATGTGATCTAACCTTATATATGAATTTCGAAAATAGCAAGCTACATTAGGGTTTTATTCATGTGTTCATAATGTTGTCTATCTAATAGTGAAAACATAGATCCAATTCTAGGGTTGCATGCACACATAGGATTGTATGTCTAAAACCCATCAGATGGTTCCATTTGAATTTGTTGGAACCCTGCTGATGCATCCATGAACGTTAGCAGTCATGTCCAACCGTAGCATCTATCGTGGAATCTATGTGTGGTAGGGGGAAAGGATCCTTAGGGCAAGCCTTATTAAATCCGTATAATCCACACATACTCGCCATTTTCCATTCTTCTTTTGTACTACGACCATGTTGGGCAACCACCTTAGGAACTTCACTTCCTTGATCATCCTTGTTTGGAGAAGTTTTTCTATTTCTTCTTGGATGATCTGATTTCTCTTAGGTGAAAACTTCCATCTTTTTTGGTGTATTGGTCTAAAAGAAGGATTAATGTTAAGTTTATGGGTTATAATATTTTTATCTATATCTGTCATATCCTCATGCTTCGAGACAAATGTTTTTCTTCTATCTTTTAGGAACTTTATTAGCTATTGTTCGATTTGTTCTGGTATTGAGGATCCTATGAGGAATTTTGTTTCAGGATCCTCGAGGTTCAGGGGCACTTCCTTTACATCATGTTCTCTTGTTTCTAGCACAATTCGTGCCCCCTTCTTTAATTTCTATGCTTTTCGTGGTATCATTGAAGATTTCACTGAGGTCTTGTAGCACTCCTTGGATTCTTGTTGATCAACTGTGATTTTTACTGTCCCCCATGGGGTGGGCATCTTAACACACCGATGTTATGTTGAGGGGACAATCTTCATATCATGGATCCATGGTCTACCTAGTATAACATTATAGGAGGATAATATACCAATTACACAAAAGCGTTGCATAGAGTTTACCCCATCTATGTAGATAGGTAGCTTTATCTCGTCGACCGTATGCTTTGTTTCACCACTGAATCCTATTAGCACCGAGGATCTTTTGACTATTTCAGCTTCTGGGATGTTCATCCTTTCTAAAGCATCCAGGAGTATAATGTTGACTGAGGATCCTCCGTCGACAAGGATCCTTCTGATAAAATGGTTGGTGGTGATCACCAGTCGATCGTGGTGGGGATCCCGGATGTCTGTTATATCCGTTTCGTTGAAGGTAATATCCATCTCGTTTGTGATCGACATATTCTTCTGAGGCCTTTCTTTTTTATTCATTTTCGACACTCTGACATGTCTTTTTGCTGCAGAATAAGAGGTACCACAAATGTTAGATCCTACAGATATCTCATTGATTACCTTAGCGTCCACAGGAGGGTATCTTGGTTTCTCTAGGATCTTATGAGGATCTCGATCCTTTTCTTTGGATCTTTTTTTTCTTCTTCCAAGGATCTCCTTGAGATATACCTTGCTAAGTAGGCATTTGCGTGTCATAAACTTCAGCAACCATTTACAATATGCATATACGACGTGCCTTTACGATACTCTTTTACGCATAATACAAAATATAGAAAAAATATATATACCAAAACAATCAATTTCATCCAATAACATCATGTCAAAAAATTGAAATACACTGATATTAAAGGGATCTGATTGTACATTGTTATTAAGAGGTTTTCCCTAACTATATAACCTAATACTACATTGCTATTAAGGGGCACCTTCTTGTTTTCGATATCATGTCAAAAAATCCTCTATATCATTGGTTTGCCACCTGATGTACTGGGCTGCTGTCCACCGGGTGTGGATGGCAAGTAATGACTTGAACATTAACTGAAACAAAAAATATTTTATTAATAATACAATCAAGTTTAGCTACCTGATATAGTGGTTATATAAATATTTTGTTAATCACAAAATCAAATTTAGCTACCTGATATAACAAGTTGACACTATGCACATCAACAAGACCTGCAAATTTCAATCATGTAACCATTAGATTCACATAAGCCAACAAATCCCAGTAACTCTTAAAATCACTATTTTTTAACCAAAAAAAATATGTAGGGGCAGTTTGGTCAAAACTGGTAAAATCATTATTTTTTTATCAAAAAAACAGTATACAGGGGCAATTTCGTCAAAAACTCTTAAAATCACTATTTTTTAACCAAAAAAAAGGATGTAGGGGGCATTCATGTATGTTCTAAATCTCCTTTGCATATTGAGATATTGTTTTGTCACTGCTATCCCTATAACACAATAACAAAAATCAGTTAGAGGGTAGGGTATTTTGGTCATTTTATAAACATATATAAAAAGGTTTGAAAGATGTTTACTTATATGCTTCATCTACTTTGGCTTGAATGTCTATGTAGGTTGGGAAGTCATGTCCAACAAGAAAGTAGTCCCCACGCCCATACCCTGAGTTCCCTTCAAGAGAATCAAGAAGTGGGTTGTAGTCATATCTTCCAAATGCCTTTGATCTTATGAATTCTTTAGCCTCTTCATATCGAGGATCCGGTTTAAACTGCAAATTCAGAAAAATAAATAAATTATAATATTTAATTAACCATACACCAACCAAAAATGTTTTTTTTGTATTCTCAGCAGGAGATATGCAATTCCTCAGAATAGAGGGCATTTTGGTCATTTTTACATAATAATAGAAAGAAAATGAAAGCAACATACCTCCCACAGACCCACAAGTAGGTCTAGGTTAGTGACCCACTTGTCTGTTTTTAACCATTTTGTTATGATCTGACTAAGTTCAGGACTACAAAATCTGAGCACAAATCTGGAGATAAAAATTTATAGTTATAGAATTTCAATGATAAAAAGATATGAACTTTATGTCAAATTGGGAAAATATGATTTAAAACAACCAACATGTTGAGCTCTAGCATGTAGCTCAGCAGCAGACTGCTATTGTCCATCATTAAACTGAAACAAATTGAAGTCCTGAGCCAAATTTACCCATTTTAAAACAAGTTGAGCTCAGCAGCAGCATCTAACTTGTACAACCTCTCCCTCAACTCATTTTCAGCTGTAACAAATTTACCCAAATTCAAAGTCAAAGTCAAAGTCAAACAAGGTATCTGTAGCTATGCTTACGATCCTGTGGGGAGGACTTCAACACGACCAAAGAATCTGACAGGAAACAACATCATGCCTGGCAACTTCCCAAGGACTAAACTTCTGAAATAATAAAGAAAATGAGAAATGATTAATTGTAAAGCAATAAGTAAATGGAAAATATGAGGTGGGGTGGGGTCCAGACCTCGAGCCAATCTTCTGCCATTTCTTGTTGCCCTGCTTTAGAAATGCTCTGTTTGAAGAGGCCATACTTGTACCTTAAACCATACCCCCATGCTGGTAGGTTTAAAGTTGCCATGGAGTCCAAAAAGCAAGATGCAAGTCTCCCTAAACCACCATTCCCAAGTGCCATATCTTTCTCCTACAATTGTTATAATGCAATAGTTAAAAAATAGAACAGATTAATCATGTTAGAAATATTTTATAGGATTACCTGCTCAGTGATTTCTTCAAGTTCATGTCCCAGTTTGTTCAAAGCACTGAAATATGCATCTTGAATATCAAGATTCCCAATGGCATTAGTCAATGCTCTCCCTTGAAGAAACTCCATGGATAAATAGTATGTTTGCTATGGATCAACTTTGTGATAATGAAGATAGGTCTCATTCCATTGCTGAAGAAGCAGTGAACAAAAAAGGAAGCATGGTTAGCCCTCAAGAACCTCAAAAACAATTGGAGAGACAGCTGCATGATACAAGTTCCTTTGTTGAGAGTTTGGACCAAATACCTATCCATATTAGTGATTGGGAACACCATCAAAGACATTATTTTTATTAAAATAGAACAGAGAACGAAAGACTTTTGTTCCTTGAGATACTATGAAAGGTGGTTCTTTGGATATAATTTAGAAAGAATAAGAATAAATGATATTAGACAAGACAATTACCTTGTCAAACACAAATGATCTATCAATCTGCTTGTTAGCTATATGTTGAACTACACAAACTTCTTTCTTGTTCTCAGTACATGTAATCACTACTGGTGTGTGTGCTTTTGTCTCATCATCACTCAATGGTCTATATGTTTAGAAACACAACAATCAAGAAATTTTTGTAAAAACAATCCAAATTCAGTTACATATATATGCTTTAATAAAAAAATTTCAAACTTTTAGAAAATAATCCACAATTAATGATTGCATACCTGAACCATTCCATCTTCCAAAATTTCCGCCATGTTGCTAAAAACCCATGAGTATACTCGTGAACACAGGTCCTCTTCATTCCTTAGCCAAATACTTAGACCAGGGAATCTACTTCTTCCATGAATGGTTAAAAAATTAAGGTCATAATTTTATCCTGCAAACACAGTACCCTCTTTCCCATGGCATTCAAGGTTACTCCATGTTGGAGCAAGAAGATACGGACCCTGCAATCCAAAAACATATAATTTAAACATCAACAAACTGGGGTAGCTCTTGGATTGTTAGATAACATGCCACATAAAATCAAAACCAGAGTATAATAAGTACAAAACAAAGTTTGGTTAGGAGAAGTGAAAATTAAGGAATATTACTTTTCTATGACCTTAACCATTTACTTATGTGTCACATGTCCAAGATAAAAAGTGACCTCAGTGGAACCAATTGCTGCCATTTCAGCAACAACGTGACGAAATTGAATTTTGAATTATATCCTGTAACATTCAAGAAATTATGATGCAAAGTCACTTCACCTCTATAGCAGATATCATTTTGGAACCCCAAGAATCCATGGTCTCTTTCCATTCGAGGAAACCTCCAGGTATAACCGGCTCCGAGTTCAGTTCCTACATCAACAAAAGTCAAATCCATGCAAAGTTTGATGAATGTTCTAATGTATTAATATCTCCAGGAAGAACAACCACTGTGCTTTTTGACCTCCCTGATACGAATGTTCTAATGTTCTAATGTATGAATATCTCCAGGAAGAACAACCACTATGCTTTTTGACCTCCCTAAACCTCCATACTTTTTTTTACTTGAGTTCTTGACAACGATGGCAGCAAGCTCAGATTGACCAAAATCAGCACCATTCAATACTGATTCCCTCACCACAAATAAGTCTCTTTCTAATCCACTAAACTCAACATGATAAGAACTAGAAAGTAACATAAATATATAGAACGAAAAGAGATACTTAATTGTTGATGATGAGCTTCTGGATATGTAAATGTACCTGTATTTTGTTACTAGAATCTACCAACAAAATCTATATGCATGTGGAATAGCAGGCCCAAAAAAATCTATATGCAATAAGCTAAATCAGGTTTTAAAAGTGATGAAAATACCTAGGTAGTGTATGCATAGTTCATCAGTAGTTTCAGGGATCAACTGTTCACAGAAGCAATTTGAATTGCTTGATATATGGTCAATGGCTGGAAATAAAACCAAAATAGTAAAATTTAATGGCTTAAATTAGAAAAACACAAAAATATAAGTATGTAACCATATACACTAAATCTAATACAAACATTCTATGAAGTATATGAAACTACATTACCCAGTGAAGAAGCAGAGCAACATGAGAATCTAAAGGGATGCCTCTCCATTCATAATACTCATTCCAACTATTTAACTTCTTTGTTAATATAGACAAAGGCCCTTCATTTTGAGTTTGTGTAGAGTAGCTTTCAGAAGTAATTATAAATGATCTGAAACCAAACCAATGAAATTTTACACCAATACCTTTACAAGGGCATAATTTACTTGAGAGATTCCAGCCCTTATCATACCTTCCAATTAAATGAATAAACAATGAGATCCCATGTGTAATTTAATCACATGTGTATTGAAATATTAGGAGAAAAGAAGGATAAAAAAGGAACCTCAAATGATCCAAGGAAGTAATCAAAGTCGCACAGATACATGAGAGGTAAAAATTAAGGTGTGAGAATATGATTACCTAGAAACATAGACGATGGCGACACGGTGGGGCTGGGTGACTGGGATGGTTCCGGTCTTCGTGTAGCCATTTTTGTGTAATATCTAAGATTGTTGAGTTCTCTTCCATGAACCGTTCTCACCAATTACCGCCACTACTGGATTCTGATACACTAATTCCAATATATTTTTCTTTAAACCAATGAAGTCGGAGGTCACCATTGAAATTGATTTGAACAACAAGAACTAGGGTTTTGGGTCGATTTGATTTTGAAAGAAATGGGATAATAAAAACAAGAAACGCCGACATGTACAATCCATTTTGAGGCGTTGGAAGCAGGAGGAGGTATGGTTTCATCAATTTCGACTGTGGTGGGTGTTGGAATAGATCGTGACAACGGTGTTGGTGTTGTCAATGGAGAAGGAGAGACGAGAAGGTGGAGGATAGAAATGAGAGAAAACCTGGTGGAGAAAGAGAGACGAGAAGGTGGAGATGTCGATTGAGGCTTGTTCAATTGGTAGCTTCGATTGACGGTTGATGAATCTTAGTTGTCAATCGGCACAGTCTGAGGCTAGAAGAGGCAACGAGGATTGGAGGCAGTGGATGTGGGTGAGGGGTGGAGACGAGGGAGAAGAAGGCGGGGGTTTAAAAAATTTGGGGATTTCATTTTCCCTCTAAGTCGAAGGAGACACGCGTTTCTTAAAAAAATATAAAACGACATTCACGGAGGACGCACATTTTAGACAAAGTGCCCTCCGTGTTTTTAAATTTTTTACATGGGACATTAATTTAAGGGCACACAATAATGTGTGACCTAAATCCTTAAATTTTTTGAAGAGATGACACTTTTTTATGTCACTCTCTTTTGCGTAACATAAATCAATGAGTGTCGTGGTTTGCGCGTCGTAAAAGGGTCTTTTTCTTGTAGTGGTAGTGATCTTTTCGAATGTTCTGCTACAAGAAAATTGGTTGTTAAAAATATTAAATAAATGTGCAAATGAAGTAATAGAGTAAGGAGGAACATTTAGTAGCCATTTCAAGGATGATCCTGTGAGGTTTGAACCAAAACCCCTGCATAGGCAAGCTTCCTTCAAATGTGTAGGAATGGGGATGATCTCCATTCTTTCCCTGTATTGTGTCATATGTTCTTCAGGATCCGTAGTCCCATCATAAGGCTTCATGCTAGAAGTTTGGAAATGCTTTGGGACTTCGGTATCAACAATATCCAGAGAAATCTTGATATCATGTGGCTCGTTGGGGAAACTTCCGGCATAGGTTGGACCACTGCGGGCACACTCGAGATCATCTGCCTCGAAGTTCCTTGGCCATGACCGAGCTTATTCCTGCATCAACATCCTTGGAGTTAGTATTAAAAGTATTATTATTTACGTAGTTACCATGATCCTTGTTATTGGGAGTGAAGAAGGTTTCACCAGGATCCTGTATCATATGAGCTTGCTCTTTTGGAGCTGCACCCCAAACAGGAGTAGGTTTCGGTGTTGAGGATCCTATCTCGTGGCGGTTTCCTGAGGATCCTGTATTGTAAAAGTTCAGGATCTTGGCCTGCAAGATCGAGGGTGCTGCTTCTTGGGGTTTGTGGATCTCCGCCCCCATTCTCTCCATTTCCTTGAGTACTGTATTGTTATTCTCCTGTTGTTGCGTGACTTGTCGTTCCAATCTCTTCATCATAGTTGTAACATCTGTTATCAGGTATTTCCATTTTATCCCTTGGTTTTTATAACCGTTTGCATTATGGTCACTTACATTAGGCGTACGAGCCAAGTACATCGGGCATAAGTCAGCGAGGAGGTCAACGCGACGAAGAGAGTATGCTCGGCGTACATGTGAGTACGTCGGGCGTAATCAGTGGTGTCCTAAACCCTAATTTTGAGTTATGACACCTATTTAAACACATTATGCCACCCTTGGAAATTCATTAGCCAACCTCCATTCCCTCTAAACCCTAGACATCGAACCCTAGCCTTGTGAGTGAGATTTTGGAGCTTGTTTGTGATTCTTGAGCCTTCTTGGTAGAGAAGGAAGTTCTTGGAGAAGAAGGTGGTGCATTCTAGTCTTTGGATCCATCTTCTACTTCACCTTGCGCATCTTCTAAAGGTATAAAGTTTATACATTGGTGCTTTTCTTTCTAGATCACTTAATGAGTTTATTTATATTCTTTTTTGTCCCAAGCTTGGATCTTTGTGAGTATGGTGTAATCCAGAGCATATTAGTTGTCCTTTCATGTGTTTTAGGACATCTAGATTCATAAAAATGCTTACTTGATTGTCCCTTTTCTGTCCATGCAAGAGTTTGATGGTTTTGAGTATGGTTTAAGTTAAGGTTTTTAGGTTTAAGCTTATTCAGGCACGCAAAGGCTTAAAGTTGTGAACTTTATGGATTAATGCTGTAACGACCCCATTTTTCAAAGGAATATTTTCATTTTCGATTAACCAAAAACACATTCTCATAACCGTGAAATCCAAATACAATTGTTTTCAAAACTCTTATCAATTACAATTTTATTTCAAAACATCAGAGGGTCCCTTAAAAGTGTCTGAGAGAGTGCACGTCGCACCATCAAGCCTTGCCCTTGCCCTTGGGTTCAGATGTACCTAAAACAAATCCACAAACTGTAAGCTAATGCTTAGTGAGTTCCCCATAGCATACCCCATGCACAATCCACAAAACA